CAAAAGAAGATAGACAGAATACACAGAGTCACTGTACCAAAAGGCATTGGTGGATGATCATTCTTTCAGGAGGTGGCATATGGTCAAGAATCAATGGTAGTGAAGGAAGAAATCCAAGCTGCACTGAAGGAATTGCTGAAAAATCTGTTGCAAAAGACTTCTTTTGAGCGCTGAAGAGAAAATATATCTCCTTGAAGACTAAGATGCACCTAACCCAAGGCATGGTATTTTCAATTGCCTCCTATGCATGTGAGAGCTGGACAATGAATAAGGAAGATGGAAGAAGAGTTGAAGCTTTTGAGTTGTGGTGTTGGGGACGAATGCTGGAAGTACTGTGGAGTGCTGAAAGAACTATCAAATCTGTCCTGGAGGAAGTGCAGCCGGAATGCTACTTGGAAACAAGGATGGCCAGCCTTTGTCTCATCTACTTTGGTCATATTATCAGAAAATACCATTCTCTGGAGAAGGATGTCATGATTGGCAAAGTGGAGGGTCAGCGAAAGAGGGGAAGGCCCTCAACAAGATGGATTGACACAGTAGCTGCAGCGATGGGCTCAGGTATAGTAGGGATCATAAGACTGGCACAGGACTGAGCACTGTTTCATTCTGTTGTACAAAAGGTTGCTATGAGTCGGGCATGATTCAGTGGCACCTAACAACAATAACAACAGCAGCAACATATGTCTCTTCTATGGAATGAGATTGCTTGAGAATTTTAGCTGTATTAGTTCAGCTTTTCTACTGAAAACTTGCCTTCAACACAGAAAAGTGCAATGGGCTTCATCGTTTTGGATGTTACATATGCTTCTCTGTGATTCACATAAGGTTTTGCTTTCAAGAAAAGCTTTATTGTATTGCAGCTTTGATAATTAAGAGCAATTGGTTTCCTTAGTGTAAGGAGCTATGCTGGTGCAGTGCCTAAGGTATTTGACTGCTAACCAGAAGGCTGGTGGTTCAAACCCACTAGCCACTCCTTGGAAGGAAGACTGGGCAGTCTACTTCTGTAGAGATACTACCTCGGAAACCCAAGGGGGGGTCGCTATGAGTCGGAATCTACTCAACAGCAGTGAGTTTGGCTTGGTTTGGTTTGTTAGTGTTTGTTTAAGTGTGTCCTTTCCTTACCTTGCCAGGATACTATACCTTCCTTTATATCCTCATTGATTGACTAAAAGAAGTCAAATAGGCTCCACTATTATAGAACCTTTTGACAGAAGAGTACCTTTTGCTTTTAAGAGTAAAATCTGTCTGTACAATGTAAAAGGAACCCTGGTGGCATAGCGCTACCTGAAAGATCAGTAGTTCAAATTCACCAGCCACTCCAAAGGAGAAGATAGTGTAGGCTGTTTCTGTAAAGATTACAGATTTGGAAAACTTATGGGGAATTTTGACTCTGTCCTAGAGGGTCACTATGAGTTGGAATCAACTTGACAGAAACAGGTATAATATGTACACATAATTCAGCCTACATATTATATTTTCATATCTTAAGATAACTTTTGATATCATAATTTGGCTGTAAGAAAAATATCACAAGAGCATTAGGGTGTTACCATAATTTACATTTAAAGAAAATAAATGATAAGTACAATAGACAAAACTTAATTTTTTTTTCATTATAAACTTTGAATGTTATATGAGGAAAGAGGTAAAGCATCTTTTTGTAAACATGTCAACAAAATAATTGAAATGCCACTTGTGATTTATTTTATAGTATTTTTCCATGGTCAGTTTGTGTTCATTTTAATTTTTTTGGTATTAAGTTATTTTTTTTTACCAGTTGTTACTTTGTTCTTTTTTTAAAAAAACATAATTTTAAAAGAGATATACTATTCTTAGTATCTTTATTATTTTTATACCATCAATAATTTTTCTCTTTTTCATATATATTATCATTATTATTACTTTCTTATTTTACTTTTATTGTGGTGAAAATATACACAAGACTTCACCAACATAACAACTTTCACATTTACAGCTCAGGGACATTGATGACATTTTTCATGTTGTGCCAGCATTATTTCTAAACTTTTCCAAAATATTCTATTCCCATTAACATAAACTCAATGCCCCACAAACAAAAGTTTCCCCTTTCCTCCTCCTCCTGGTAACTACTAATAATCTATGGTATAAAATATATATATATACCATATATACATATAATTTATATATATAAATTTTTTTCAACCTATCTAGGAGTTTACTCCTTCCCCTGTGATCCCTGGTAATGAACAAAGAAAATTCCCTTCCATTAATAAACCTTTCCTTGACTTTTCACAATAGTGGACTAATGCAATATTTGTCCTTCTGTGACTGACTTATTTCACTCAGCATAATATCCTCCAAGTTCATCCACATTGTATGGTGTTTGGCAGATTCTACATTGATATATATTCTTTTACACTGTGAAATAAATGGAAATTTTTTTTTAATATTGGAAAAATGTTTTGTAATTATCTATAAACATTAACATCAGTCTGCTTTATCAGGTCATGAGAAAATGCCTATTGTGTCTATATTTTGGTTACTACTGTTATGTCATGTTTGGAGTTTTCAGAAAGAGATATTGATGTTTCATAATGAACAAAGCAGAAAATTATTTTGAAATAGTAATATATACATTTCCGTATTGTCTCATTATTTAAATGAAAATTATGTTGATAACTTATTTAAAATTTTATCTAGATCAGGTGTTTCTTATTTTAATTTCTTTTAATACACTGATAATAATGTTATAATACATCACCTTCAAGTATATCTTGATCATAAGATGGATTCACAAATTTGAGCAAATATTATTAATGTTAATAATATGATTCTTTGTGCAATACTATGTCTATACATCACACTAGATACTTTATACACACTTAATTAGTATTTGTTAAGTATGAAATACCAAAGCCAAACCTGCTGCCACTGAGTCAATTTTTACTCATAGTGACCCTAAAGGATAGAGTAGAACTGCCCCACAGAGTTCCCAAAGCTGTAATCTTTATGGAAGCAGACTGCCACATCTTTATCCCATGGAGCTGTTGGTGGGTTCCAACTGCCAACAGTTTTGTTAGCAAAAGACTGCTTAACTACTGTACTATCCTGACTACTAGGGTAAGAATAAAACCAAAAAAACAAATTCACTGCCATGGTGTTCATTCAACCTCATAGAGACCCCACTGGGTTTTCAAGGCTGTAACTCTTTATGGAACCAGACTGCCCCATCTTTCTTCTGCAGGGAAGCTGGCGGGTTTAAACTACTGGCCTTTTAGTTAGCAGCCAAATGCCTTAACCACTACAACACCAGAACTGCTAGGGTATAGAATAAACCCACTGCTGGCGAGTCGGATCCAACTTATAGTGACTCCTCCTTGGGTTTCTGAGGCAGTATCACTATAGAAGTAGATTGCCCAAACTTTCTTCCAAGGAATGGTTGGTCACTTTGAACTGCCAGCCTTCTGATTAGCAGTCAAATGTTTTAGGCACTATGCCACCAGACTCTTAATTTTAACATTTTGATGAAAAACATGAAGCTGAGAGAAGTATTGTAATTTATCTAAGGCCACATAGTAAGTGGCCAAATAGGATTTCAACTAGGCAGGTATGATATCGAAGGCATTCTTTTTTGGGGTGTGTGTGTGTGTGTGTGTGTGTGTTGTATGTGGGAGGAAGGGTGGGGGAGGGATGCTGGCTTGTACACGTTCTGGAAAGTCAGTCATTAAATACTCCAAGCTTTTTTTGACCCAGTTGTTAAAGCATTGGAAACTTTAAAGAGCAATGGTGGAAATGTTAACACAAGAGAAATCAGCAAATGATACAAATCAGGGCTTACCTAACACTCCTCCCTCCCTCTACCACACCAGACATTTTACCAGAACTGGAAATCTAATGCCATAGATTTCTCAATGTATACATCCGTATTAAGTTGCAGATATAAATATCAGGCCTAAATCTTTTATCACATACCAAATATTGCGTATACATTGGCAACCATTAGGAAATTTAGCATCATTAGTTATTGAGTGGTAGCATAGTGGCTAAGACACTTGACTGCTAACCAAAAGGCTGGAGGTTCAAACCTACCAGCCAGCCCTCAGAAGGAAGATGGAGCAATCTACTTCCATAGAGATACTGCCTCGGAAACCCAAGGAGGGGTCGCTATGTGCAAAAACGGCAAGGAGGTCACATCTCCTGACCTCCTCTAACCCCACAAGAGGAAAACAAAATCACCATCAATAGCCCAAGGCCTATTGCTGCAAGGCCAGACATGCTGCCTCCTCCAGCCCTTTCACCAACCATTCCTCCCAAAGCACCCACCACCTCTCTCCTGGGTTAGATAATTCACTGCAGTGGCCACACAGAACTCACAGATTATGGGGTTTATTAGGGAAGTAATTCAAGTTCAGAAAAAACGCTCAGTCTCTCTCCCAGCCCACAGTCTCTCTTCTAACAGTCTCTCGCAGTCTCTCTCCCAACAGTGAGTGTTCCTTGGTGTCTCACTCAGCAATGCATGCCTCTTTCCAAGCAGTGTGCATCTCAGGAGTGCATGTCTCTTTCAGCAGCATGTCTTCTTCATCCAGCAGTCTGAGAGAGACTTCTTCTGCCTCTAGGAGGCCTCCTTTTGAGGCTGGCAGAGTGGTAAAACCAACCAATCATAACATCAGAATTCTAAGTACCTGAGAGAGAGTGAACCTCCCAGAACATTACTTTGTGTTGCGCCCAACAGAAATACCCCGGGTGGATAACTTTTACAATCAGGAGTTCCTCAGTCAGGAGCTCCTCAGTTGTTCACAGCAAATTCCACCAGAGTTTACAAAGACTTATGGCTAGAAAAGCCACACTAAATAATTTACTACACCACACTATGAGTCGGGTTTGACCCATGGCACATAACAACAACAACAACAGTTATTGAGCTAAATATGTTGACTTTTATTGTCATATTAGAATACCTTAAATAATTTCTTATAGAGAAGAATGTGTGAAATAATAAATTCTCTCTTTTTTTTCAGTGATGGTGGAAAGTGGAAATATAATTTCCTATGTGGCTTACATCAATTCTGGTTATTGTAACATTTATAGAAGTATTGTTGGACTTGTGAAACTAGCATTTAATAAAGTGGTAAGTTTTATACTTGTGTCTTCTCTTTAAGCAATTAATTTACTTAACTGGGTTAAGGATACAGAACATATTTTCATATGCTTTCTGAATATTCATTTATTTTTTTCATGAAATTTCTTTTAAAATATTTTGCCCATTTTAAATAGGACTTCTTTTCTTTCTTTCTTTTTTTTTAAATCTAGTTGTGAGATATAGAAATGACCAACAAGCATATTAAAAGATGCTTAACATTTTTTACTCATCAGAAAAATCAGAGTCATCACAGAAACCATATCAAGGTTTTACTAAAATTAAAAAGACTGGCAGTATCAAGGGTGACAAGTAGAGCAAACAGAACTCTCATAGATTGCTAGGCAATAGAATAGGTTACAGTCTTTTTGGAAAACAGTTGTCATTTTCTTATAAGTTAAATACACTTACCGTATGACCTAGTCATTCCACTTCTGCATACTTACTCAAGAGACTTAAAAATAAATATCTAAAAAAAACCTTCGTAAAACTTCTCAACCAAAAAACTAGAAATAATCCAATGGTCGCTGGCAGTTGAATGCATAGAACATTGTGAAGTTTTGATACAATGGAATGCCACATATCAATAATAATAATAATAATAATAAACCTAATGAAATATGCAAGCATACAAATGAATCTCAAAAAAAATTAGGTTGAACAAAAAAGTCAAACTCCAAAGAGTACATTCTATATGATTGCATTTTCACAAAGTTCTAGAAAAGAAAAAAATAATAAATGTACAGTATTAAGTTGAGATGATTTTGTTGAGCACAGTGGGTATATTGGTCATGGATTACAAAAGATCATGGTAAACTCTTGGGGATCATGGATATGTTCTATATCTGATCGGGATGTCAGTTGTACAGGTGTAGAGTTGTCTAAACTCATTAAAGTGAAACACAGGAGCATTTTATTTATATAAACTATAACTTAGTAGATTTGATTTTTTGAAAGATGAATTACAAATCCACTTGTGAGGAAATAATCTCTTACTCATGTCACCTATAAAAACTGATACAAGCATATGTTTCCACAATAGAAATTATATAAAAATATGTATATATTTATATACTGCAAAGTCACATAGAATACTAGCATACTTTTTTTTAATGTAGAAACATTACATTTTAAGATATTATCATATCTTATACATGGTCATGTTATTGTTGTTGGTTATCATCAAGTTGATTCTGACTCATGGTGACTGCTCCATAAGGTTTTCAGGGCTGTGAACTTTCAGAGGCATACTGCCAGTCCTGTATTCCAAGGCGCCACTGGGTTGTTCAAATTGGCAACTTTCTGCTAGTAGTTGAGAGCTTAACCATTTATGTCACCCAGAGACTTCTATACTGTCATAATGTCAGCATATTTGTCATTGCATACTTTTATTATCTAGACCCAATTTTGTTTTAATATGAAAATTTAAGAAAATAAGTACTTTGATAATTTTATTAACAGATTAGTTTTCTAAAGTTCATAGGAAACTACAAAAAACATTTTTTCTTTTACTAGGGGCCACAAGTTCAATTCTATTGTTTAAATTTACATTAAAATATAAAAAGAACATACATTTTCAATGAGAAAGTAACTACTTTTTTTGCACAAGTGTTATTTTCCCTCAACTCATTTCATTGTTTGGGTGGTGAGAGCAACGTTATTTAAAATAATAACAATTTTTGTGTTTGAGGAAACTGCTTAGCTACAACATCATTTCTCTTCTACACTGTCCAGGAGTATATAGAGACATTTCCAGTGTTCTGAGAACCTTTAAGTCTGAATGGAAAAGTATGTTTTGCAGGCTTACTAAGTTTAAGGTTTAAGAAAGCAGCATTGGATGGATTGTTAAGAGACAGGTGTTGATATGGGTAAAGCAAAAGCAATATAACAAAAGCATGTGACTAGCACAATATCACTAAGGAAAAGGAAGACATGGATTGCTGCACAAGGGATACAGGCAATATAGGTAAATATGATTTCATACACAATGCTGCATTATCAGTAAAAGCTAACACTAATCGATGGGAAGATATCTAGGTAGACAGGCAAGAAGATCAGTTATGGGTAGGAAAATGGGAATATACCCATGACCATATGGGGCTCTGGTGGCATACGGCCTAAGGCATTTGACTGCTAACCAAATGGTGGGTTCGCAGTTCAAACCCACCAACCACTCCATGGAAGGAAGATTGGCCAATCTACTTCCATAAAGATTTACCACCTCAGAAACCCAAAAGAGGTCACTGTGAGTTGGATTTGACTTGATGACAGTGAGTTTGTTTTTTTGTTTTTTTCCAATACATAGATTTGACCAAAGATATTTTTGCAAACATATTTGTATGTGCTGTAAAAATGTCCATAAGTTGTTTAAGACTAAAAGAAGGCAAAGTTAGGATAGCTTCTTAATCACAGCTAAGCACCTCAAGGGATTGAGTCACTAGGCCTGTAGGCTGGGGACCATGGTTGTGGGAGACTTTAAGCTCAATTGGCACAACATAGTATATAAAAATATTGTTCATCTTACTTCTGTGAGTAGTGAATGGGGTCTTAAAATCTTGTGAGTGGCCATCTAAGATGTAACTATTGGTTTCTTCCCATCTGGAGCAAAGAAGAATGAAGGAAATTAAAGATGCATGGAAACATCCGAAGGACTAATAGACCATGAGAACATAAGCCTATATGACCCCGAGGCCAGAAGAACTAGATGGTGCCTGGCTATCAATGCCAACTTCTCAGAAAGAGATCAAGATTTAAGATCCTGGATAGAGTGGGAGAAAAAAAATGTGGAACAAAACTGAAAAGAAAAAAAAAAATAAATAAAATAAACAAACAAACCCAAAACATTAAGGAAGTCAGATTTATTAGTTGGATAGAGACTAGTGGAACCTCTGAGACTAATTCCAATTCACACGTCAGGCTTGGAATGAAACTAACTCTGGTGGTTTAACTCTCAGCAAAAGTATAGACAGGCCTATGACCTGAACAGCTACACCAGGATGATGCATCCCTTAAAACAATCAAGCATAGATCAGAAGGGAAGCATTTGCACAGGGAGAAAGCAGGGATGGAGGAATGCATAGACAAGAAGGATCCAGGGAAAGGGTGACCATAGAGAAGTGGGAGAAGAGCTGTTACAATGAGGGGAATACAATGAGGGGAATACAATGAGGGAAATACAATGAAGAGTGCTGTTACAATGAGTTCAATATTTCCTAAAACTCCTGGTGAATTGAAATTTAATTTTCAGATCCCTCAGTGACTGAGGAACTCTGACAGTGCAGTTATTAAAGCATTTGGCTGTTAACCTAAAGTTTGATGGTTCAAACCCACCAACCAGTCTGTGGGAGAAAGATGAGGCAGTCTACTTCCATAAAGATTTACAGAGTATGAAAACATGTGGGGTAGTTCTACCTTGTCCTGCCGTGTTGCTATGAATCAGAATCAACTTGATGGCAATGGGTTGGGTTTTGAAGTGGCTGTGCTTCACCGTATACAATGTGTATGCTGAGCAAATAATCTGAGTAGCTGGACTATATGAAGAAATGATATCAGGATTGGAGGGAGACTCATTAAACACTTGCATACTCAGATGACACAACCTTACTTGCTAAAAGTGAAGATGACTTGAAACACTTACTGATGAAGATCAAAGACTACAATCTTCAGTATGGATTACACTTTGACATAAAAAATACAACAATCCTCACAACTGGACCAACAAAAAATACAACAATCCTCACAACTGGACCAACAAGCAACATCATGATAAAAGGAAAAAAAGATGAGGGTGTCAGGGATTTCATTTTACTTGGGTCCACAATCAATACCCATTGAAGCGACAGTCAAGAAAGTAGATGACATATTGCACTAGGAAAATCTGCTGCAAAAGACCTCTTTAAAATGTTAAAGTGCAGAGATGTCACTTTGAAGACTAAGGTGCACCATACTCAAGCCATGGTATTTTCAATCATCACATTTGCCTATGAAAGTTGGATAGTGAATAAGTGAGTCACAGAAGAATTGATGCATTTGAATTGTGGTGTTGATGAAGAATATTGAAAACAAAATGGACTGCCAGAAGAATGAACAAATCTGTCCTTGAAGAAGTGTAGCCAAATGTTTCTTGGAAATGAGAATGGCCACACTTCATCTCACCTACTTTGGTCATGTGGTCTGAAGGGACCATTCCCTAGAGAAGGATATCATACTTGGTAAAGTAGAGGGTCAGTAAAAAAGGGGAAGACCTTCAACAAGAGAGAATTCCACAGTGGCTGCATGGAAGTGTTCAAGAAGAGCAGATTGAGAGGATGGTGCAGCACTGGCCATTGTTTTGTTCTGCTGTGTCTAAGATCACTATGAGACAGAGCCAACTCAATGGCACCTAACATCACTTTCAATTACCTAAGATATTCTGAAGTTGTCTATCAATTAATTCTTATTCTAATATAATTGAAACACTTATCTGAGTTAATGATTTCTCTGCTTTGAACAAAATTATTAGTTTTTTAAATATCAGGCACTAAAATGACTTATGAACAGTGAGTTTCTGATCATATTAAAACTATTTATTCATTATAATAAAGTGGTTGAATAATACAAAAATTCTCTGTATCACTTACAGAAAAAAATTCGAAAACTTGTCTACATGGGAAAACTTAAGGAGAAGGAGTCTTTTGGTGAGATTAGTGTTCTTCTTCAAGTTCCTTTCACATGCACAGTCATTACTGGAATGGAGATTGAGGCAGCCATCATTGAAGATACAGACCTATTTGGTAAATACAAATAAATATCTTTTATTTTAACAATTAGATTATGTTATTCGATGACTTTTTCTAATGGGCATCTCAAAGCCTCGATGCCTTTCTGGTTTAAAAGCATGTTATATTCCCTTGTTCTGTATGAATGGCTGCCTGTTGGTCCATGTATAGGTTCCTCAAGAACACAATTAAGTGTTCAAAATTTCCATTCCTCACAGTGAATTTTTTATGATCCACACAGTTGAATGCCTTTACATATTCAATAAAACACAGACAAACATCTTTCTGGAATTCTTTGCTTTCAGTCTAGATTCATCAGATATCAGCAATGATATCTCTTATTCTACATACTCTTCTGAATCTAGATTAAATTTCTGGCAGTTACCTGTCTATGGATTGTTGCAAACATTTTTGAATTATCGTTAGCAAAATTTTACTTGTGGGTGATATTAATGATATTGTTCGATAATTTCCAAAGTCTGCTGGCTCTACTATCTTTGGAATGGGCACAAATATGGATCTCTTCCATTTGGTTGGCCAGGTAGCTGTCTTCCAAATTTTTTGACATAAATGAGTGAGCATCTCCAGTGCTGCATCCATTTGTTGAAACTTCTCAATGGATGTTCCACCAATTCCTGGAACCTCATTTTTCACCAATTCTTCCAATAAAGCTTGGATTACTTCTTTTAGTACCATTGGTTCTTGATCATATGCTACCTCCTGAAATGGTTGAACATTGACTAATTCTTTTTGGTATACTGACTATGTGTATACCTCTGTCTTCTTTTTGGTGCATCCTGCATCATTCAGTATTTTGTCCATAGAATTCTTCAATATTGCAACTCAACGCTTGAATATTTTCTTCAGTTCTTTCAGCTTGGAAAATGCAGAGCATGTTCTTCCCTTTTGGTTTTCTAATTCCAAGTCTTTACACATTTCATTATAATACTTTGTCTTCTTGAGCCATCCTTTGAAATCTTCTGTGAAGCTCTATTATTTCATCATTTCTTCTATTCACTTTAGTTACTCTCCATTCCAGAGCAAGTATCAGAGTGTTTTCAGACATCTACTTTAGCCTTTCCTTCCTTTCTCATCTTTTTAGTGACCTTTTGCTTTCTTAGTATGATGTTCTTGATTTCATCCCATAACTCATCTGGTCTTTGGTCAATGGTGTTCAATGCATCAAATCTATACTTTAGACGATCTCCAAATTCTGGTAAGATATCATCAAGGACATATTTTGGCTGTTGTGGACTTGCTTAAATTTGCTTCAGCTTCTACTTTCATATGAGTAATTAATGGTCTGCTCCACAGTCAGCTCCTGGCTTTGTTCTAACTGATGATATTGAACTCTGTATCATCTATTTGATTCCTCCATCATTGCTTTGATTTTTCTGTATTTCATCTGATGAGGTCCACATATTTAGTTGCCATTTATTTTGTCAATATCTTGTTGATAAAAGGTATTTGCTACAAATAAGTCACTAGTTTTGCAAAGTTATATCCTGTGGTCTCCAGCATCTTTTCAATCACCAAGGACATATGTTCCAACTACTGATGCTGATGCTTCTTTTTTTATTTCCAATTTTTGCGTTCCAAACACCAGTAATTATCACTACATCTTGATTGAATGTTTGGTCAATTTCAGACTGCAGAAGTTGTATATCTAAGCCTACGACATCAATCTTTATGCATTCTATTTCATTTTTGACAACTTCTAATTTTCCTAGAGTCATACTTTATACAAGTTACATTCAATTGTTAAAGGATATTTGCAGCTGTTTCTTCCCATTTTTAATCATACTACTTTTGCAAATAAATGTCTCCAAAGCTTTTCTCCATTTACATCATTAAGTTTGACTCTACTTTCAGGACAGCACTTCCCCAGTTGTATTTGGAGTTCATTCCAACCTGAGGGACTCCTCTTCCAGCACTATATCAGACAATCATTTCACTGCTGTTCACAAGATTTTCCAATAATATATCAGACAGTGTTTCACTGCTATTCACAAGGTTTTCATTGACCAATAATTTCAGAAGTGATGGCTTCTCCTTCTTTCCAATCTATCTCAGTCTGGAAGCTCTACTGAAATGTGTCCATTGTGGGTGGCCCTGGTGGTGTTTCAAATATTGGTGGTATAGCTTCCAGCATCACTGCAACATGCAAGCCACCCCAGACTGTGGTGGCAGACTGTCAGATGAGTAAATGTGTACACATTTACATACAGGTATATCCTTTGTACCTGGTAAAATAAAATTACTGTAATAATTGAAATTTTTGGAGACAGCACATCTATACTGTGTACATAATCTCTTTATGACTACCTTATCTGCTTGATTTAATTGTGCTATTAAAATAATGGCAATATTTTAAAAGGCTCTTATGTGAAATTATTGAATCCTCTGCTAATACCTAAGCTAACACTCCCTTCTTTTTTGGGACTCTGAGGTCATTTCATCTATCTTTTTAATTCAGCTCAAGTGTATTACCCCCAGTGTACAATCTAGATAAAGCTTATTTGAAGATAAATACCTTGTAATACCTATTAAATATTTATTTGCAGTTTTGGAAATATAGGAATGGGAAACAAATAATTGTGTTATTCTTGTGTTAAACCATCATCTGTGTTTGGGCCTGTAAATATTATAGCTACTCATGTACAATTGAATATGAAGGATGAATGGAGTTTAATAAGTCATTAAATAATAGGATATTAAAGAAAAGTGTAGCATTGTACCTTTATCTAGAGTAAAACTGGAAATGCCAAATGTTGGGTAAAGGAAAAAGGATAGAGTTTAGTAGAAATTAGGAGGGGCATTGACTTTAAATAAACTCATTTGGAAAGAAGGTTATGATTATCCATGTGTAATTTGACTTATCTGAATTTCAATGTGTGTTTTTTCTTTTTGTTTTGGTCTGTTAGAAAATGTGTACCCCATACCTGCCTAACTGTTCAAAATGAAAAGAATTAATTCATGTTTATGTATCCATGTTTTTAAATATTATGAATTGAAATGTTGTTCATTGCTGTTGAGTCAATTTCGGCTCATGGCAACACAATGTGTGTAAAATAGAACTGCTCCATAGGATTTTCAAGGCTGGTGAACTTTCGGAAATAGATCACTAGGCCTGTCTTCCCAAGTGCTTCTGGGTAAGTTCGATCTGCCAACTTGTCAGCAAGTAGAGCACTTAAACGTTTGTGCCACCTATGGACTTGTAAATTTGAAATGACATTTTTTTTCTTTTGTGTGGCATTCAAATATAAAACTCCTCAAGGTAAATATCACTTAAAAAATAATTACTGGCCACCAATTGATATTACAATATTCTCACTTGCTACAAGCCAGGTTTTTCTTTTCCTGTGCTAATTATTTTAACTGGTACAAAGCAAATACTTTGTGGGCTCTTATGCAAATCAACATTTCCCACATGAAAATACTTCTTTCAGTTATGTATTAGAATCTTCTTTGCCATCTGCCAGCCTACAATTCAAATGGATAGTGTAGTATAAGATTTAGTTGTGTTTGTGTGTGTGCCAGTCATATTTTAAATTTTATTCTACATTTAGTTCATTTCAAGACTGATGTTATAAACTGCTGACATGTTATTTGCCTAATTAGTTAAGCTCTTCTCAACCACAGATGTATTGAGTACAATATTGTGCTGGATTTGCCATAACTTACAAGAAAATGAAATTTTGCATTTAATTTCAGTAAGTCTTTTTATTTCTATATTCTATTTTATATTTTATTCCAAGAGAGTTAAAAATACATTTATATAATATATAAATAATTATAGTGAGAAAACTAATAATTGCTTTTTCTGAAAAGATCATTTCACACATGAAGAATGAGAATCCTTATTAAGCATTTTCATATTCATTTTTCCTCATCTATTCCATTGCTTTCATTGTCTGAAATATGGATTCATCTTTAAAATAGCATAGGGCATGGCACACAGGAAAGTAAAATTAGCTTTAAAAAATATCAAACTGAAGATAAATGAACATGTTAAACTAGAAAATAACCATGAACAAAAACCTTGATAAATCATCTTCCTATCAAAAAATACTAGTACTGCATTTGGTGTTAGGAAGAATTGTTGAAATTGAAGTTGATTTATTAAAAAATAAAACTCTCAAAATAAAAGCAATATGTTACAACAGAGATCTCAAATCATATTGATTGTATTGTTAAGTATAGTATACTTTTAAAGGATTCTAGATATATAACTGAAAAATTATATTAAAGATGATGTATTTTCCAAAATATATAGGTGACATTCACTAATTACACCCATATAAATCACATTAAAGAATCAGTACCCTTTAAATGAGTCAGTTAATCAGCAATTATTTAGTGAATACCCAGAGGGATCAAGAAATTCAGCCACTAAACCTGGAGATGGGAAGAATTTAATGGAATTATTTTTAAAATAATGTATGTTAAACACTTTATTAAAAGAATTATATTTCACAATCATAGATGTCATCATGTACACCAATTAGCTTTTCAATGTTTAAAAGGATATGAGGAATTTATTTTTGTTGTTGTTGAATGAGATTGTTAACTTTTGGAAGATAGGAAATATGTATTTTAATTACAGCATGTGCTGCTCAGATATTATCTACAGCAAATAAATAAAAATGAGAGCATCATTATTATTAAATTTAATGAGTATAAACTTATTCTTTTGTCATATAAAACATTCAGAATTTTATTTTATCTTATTTTTATGAAAGTAATGTATTTTTCCACCCTTCATCTGCCAATTTGTCAGACTGGGGTGGCTTGCATGTTGCCGTGATACTGGAAGCTGTGTCAACAGTATTTCAAATACCAATAGGGTCGCCAATGGTGGACAAGTTTCAGCAGAGCTTCAAGACTAAGACAGAGTTGGAAGAAGGGTCTGGTGATCTACTTCTACAAAAAAAAAAAAAAAGTTTAGTGAAAACGTTATGAATAACAGTAGCAGTAGAACATTCTCTGATATAGTGCCGGAAGATGAGTCACTTTGGAAGGTACTCAC